AGGAAACGAATTTTTTTAGCATGAACCCATTTTCGGAAACGATCGGATGATCTATACCGGCATTATTTGAAATGTTATTAATACGCGAAAATGACGAATGGAGGAGATGAAGCTAATTTGACCAATGGAATTGCGAGAAATCTGCTCCGCTTTAGACATGCCCTAAATTTGGCGAACGCCACGGTTATACAAGTATTACAATTGAGAGTTTCGTTTTCGACCATACAGCGGACACAACGTGTTCGCTCAGTCCTTTATTTGTAGAGTATATTAAAGTCACTCGTCTCAACTATTTATTGTCCATCCATACTCTAGGTTCTGATTTTTGTACATGAAAATATTATTTATTTTGACGTGCACACGTCGATGAGAAGTTGATTGACAATGAATGACCCGTTTTTCAAATAACATGCATGCTTGTTTGAAGAAAACTTTATTGATATATAAAGCATAGTAATTCTTTTACCATTATCGACAATGAGGATTCGCTGACAGTATGAGGTTAAATGTAGACGTCATTTCCTTTATGCAGATGAACGTTGAAACTATTTGATTGAACAAAAGTTTATTGAGTTAATTACTCCGATGTGCAACACGTTCGGTTGACTTTATTCTCTAATAGATTGTGCCAGAATCCTACGCAAATAATTGTAAAGTTATTAAATTTTGAACATTTTCTTCGTATTGCATTATTTCTGCATTTTTTGCTGAATAAAATTCACGTATAAGCAAACTCAAAAGTTTACATATAAACGTACACACCAAAATTTTACTGGAATGACAAGCACAGACTATAAAACTGCCAATGCGTGATCACGTTCTGCTCCGCTTTAGCCTTTCCCCAAATGGAGCCTGAATAAAATACTCATCATTAGTGAATTTTGTTCTCCAAATATTCTGTCGACAATGTCTACCGAACGACTATTAGATGCAAAGTAAGTGCCACCTAAGCTTCACATCGACTCTTGAGGTTTATCAAAAGATGTACAAGAAAAGCATTATGGAGGCTGAAGCCTTTTGGAGACAAGCAAGTGGATCATACGGTCGGAAGCGCAATTGATTTATTAATGGAATGCCTACTATTAATATTATTATTATAAAAGCAGACGAAATTTAACTAGTCACGATAAATGTGCGCTCCAGCCAGGGGGTTTTTTTTTTAAAAAAAAAAGAAAGTCAACTTCACTGAAAATTTCCTGTCTCATCGCATTCAATTGCATCACATCCTTACAGTTGACTAGAGGACTCCTTCATAGGCACAAACCATTTGAAACTGTCGTTTCTGGTAGGTTTGATTACTGTTCTTCTCGCAGTTGTAGAAAGAAACAAATAGCAAGTGCTTGCAGTATCGCTGCTCTTACGATCGGTAATTTAGTTCAGCACTACTCTCGCCTTCGCTATTGCCAACACGTTACAGCTGATAGTTCCTCAAATAACGACGAAGATGAGCTGCTCCTATTACAAGGCGTTAATAGGAATTGATGTTTCTCTGTCACAAACCACAATAACCGTGCAGTAATCATAACGCTATGGTAGATTGGTTTGTTGCACAAATCACATGAAAATCACGGACGTGCTTAGTAAATTGTTTAGCGGGAAAAACATGCAATGCAGAATATACTCTGTGTGTGCATCAATTCCCTAATATTCTAATCTCGGGAATAAGGCAATGGTACATGTATGGATGGTGATTTGAACAAAGGGTTCACTCGATGACCTTGACGTTATTCAAAATAGCATTGTAACATCTATATATGTGTAACAAGGTGGGTTAGATAAACAAAATAAAGGGCACATGATAGTAGATGCTACACCAATTGCTGTTACAAAAGACCCATTTTTTTTTTTCATACGATCCGACTTTATCTAATTAGGATATGAATTCCTGTTGTCCAACCAAACATTTCTTGGTTATGTATGTTTGAACAACTGAATGCACGCTAACCGCGTGAGAATCACGCTTACAGATCTGCTAATTCTCCTATTACTATTTTAGCATGTTTACTTTAACCATTTGTGTCATTCGCAAATGTCAATTATAAGTGCCTTTTTTTCCCCTGCTCTCGAAACAAGCTTTTAGTTACAACATTCAATCTTTATACATTCTTACATAGCATATCATAAATTTAATATGTCGTCAAATGCATTATCAAATGGACATCAAACTTTACCTCCAACTTCTGATCGCAAACCCGAGTCTGCCGAATCTTCGAAAGCAACCGTGAAGAAAAAGACGTCTTCTAGGAAAAGTTATCGACATACAACTGCTGTACACACTACGGTCGCTGCCTCTGTACTGTCAAAAGAAGCACCTCCGGCGAGTTATCGTGGATTTATGAATTTAGCAAGTGAGTCTAGCTAATATATTAATGTAATGGGTGAACTTTACATAATCTAACTAAAATCAATTTTTTTGTCATTTGTCCCAAAGTGCTCATTCTTGCCGCTAGTAATGTTCGATTGATCATTGAGAATTATCTTAAATACGGATTTCTAATGTCTAGACCGGGTACTTTTGTGCCTCCTTCAGTAAGTCGTTGAAAATCTTTGTTCAGAATGCATGCTATATAGATAATATTACTAATCTAATGGTATCATCTTTGTGATTTTCTGGCTTTAGGACTATATTCTATTTTCAATTACATTCATTGCTCTGCCATTCAATTTATTCTTTGCATATCTCATTGAGAAAATGGCAGTCAAACCCTTTCTCGCTGAATTAAAGAGAGTTAAAGCCCAAGATCAACAACCAACGCTGACTCCCAAAATTTTATCCGTCAATCGACGAGCAGGCATTTTGCACATCATTAACATCACCATCACAATATTATATCCGACGCTGATGTCATACTATGCCATTTTTTCATCCATTTCTTGCGACCGTGGTTTTATTTGTCGCGGTTATGCTGTTTTTAAAACTTGTTTCTTATTTTCTTGTCAATAGAGATCTTCGTCTTAATCAGGTATCCTCGCAGGATAAGAATCTGGAATCCCCTTACACTGTTGCTTACCCTAACAACATTACGTTTGGTGATATCTTATATTTCTGGTTTGCCCCGACGCTTTGCTATCAGCCATCATATCCGAGAGCATCTCAAAAGTTTAGATTGGGTTTCTTTTTAAAAAGAGTGGGAGAAATATTAATTGCATGTACGATGATGTATTTCTTAATTGAGCAATATGCCAATCCTACCTTGAAGAACAGCGTTCGCGCTATGGATGAGCTGGCGTTGGTTAATATAGTTGAAAGGTTGCTAAAGTTGAGCACTACGAGTCTGCTCATCTGGCTGTTAATGTTTTATGCCTTTTTCCATAGTTATATGAATGTATTAAGTGAGGTGAGTCGACTGATTTTAATAACTGATTGATCAAAAGCTCGTTATTTTGAACGTGCTATCATAGTTACTATTATTATTGTCACAAGGGACTATTTCTTGTTCTGAATTGTACTATTTCTCCCTAGGTTTTGGAATTTGGAGATCGTACTTTCTATCTCGATTGGTGGAATTCGGGATCCTTGGAGACCTACTGGCGTCTGTGGAATAGACCAGTTTATCATTGGTTCAAGCGTCATGTGTATCTTCCGTTGGTCGGCCAAGGCGTCCCGCCCATGGTTGCAACATTGACCGTATTTACCATTTCTGCTGCTCTCCACGAACTTATGGTTGGAGTACCAACTCATGCTATAATGGGATATGCATTTGGGGGAATGATGGTGGGTAATGAGATCAAATCATTTATGCGGTATTTTTATTACTGAATTATTTAACAATTTCTCAATCCATCTTACGTTCTAATAACATAGGCTCAGATTCCATTGATTACTCTGTCTAAGCCTGTAAGTATCCACCACTTGCTTTGATCGCTAATGTTTGTTCTTTTATGTGTTGACTGACAATTGATAACTATTAAAGCTGGAAAAATGGAGAGGCAAAGGTTCAACTTTGGGCAATGTGTTATTCTGGGTCAGTTTCTGTCTAGTCGGACAACCAGCGTGCGTTCTTCTTTATTATTATCAGGTGGGTTTTTAAGGCGTTATGCTTATATACTCTAAACTGATTAGGATGATACTCACTTTTTTCTCTGATTAATGTAGTGGGTAATCACGCATCGCGTTGAACCAGCTTAATTTATGCATGAGATAGAGAATGCGGGTTAATTTATGAAATGTAAATAAACGTATACACAGAAATCATACATGTATGAGTTACGTATGTGAGCACAGTGACCGCATATATTAGATATAGGATTTCTACATTTTTGTTCAATCGATTGAGATTGTCTGCTTTCAAAACAAAAATAGAGATAACGATTTATTATAATTGTATTTGGCAGTGTAAACGTGTCTCTTTCCTGCGGAATGTAGAAGATAATAAATAAGCTATCAAGCAAGATAGCTAAAAATAATTACAACAATTATGGCGATTTAGTGGCTAATATTCTAATTCTGTTAAATTTTCCGGAACATGCGCCTCGTCCTTTACGATTAACACTAAATTACCGTACTAATACGCGTTTGGCATAAAGCAAGAGGAATTTGAGGCTCAATTCTCGATACGGACGGTGACTCAGTTTGCTGTCCATAAAAAGTGTCGTCACTGGAGCGAACACATAAAAAACCGCAAACACCTGAAATCGCAACTTCTAATTAAGTTCACGTGATATTCAATTAAGTTGATGTCCAAGTCTTAATGTGAGGTGAAGTTTCGGGATGTCTGTTGGACCACAGATTCCAGAGCACCTGCTTTCGAAGTATCAAATTCGGGATCAAGAGGATGCCGAAAAAGACGCACTAATTGGCCCGCAACTACCAAGCAGTCTAATAGAAACAGAGGGAAAAGTGTCAACACCACAATCAAATTCAAATGTATTGCAAGAGAAACCGACGGAGCCACTGTTATCAAGCTCCTCAACTTTAGAACATACTGTCGAGGAAGATGATCCAGATGCCTATTTACCAGCTCTTCCTCCAGACTTGCTGGAAGAGCGGCAAAAAAATAAACAACGAGCTGGCAACGATAAGGCGATACGATCAAAAGGTCCTATTATAGGACCAGCAATGCCTCCCCCAGGATACCTTGCCGATCAAAAAGAAGACGAAGAGGATGAAGAGGATATGGTGGGTCCCGTACTACCCAAGGGATTTATTCCCTATGCATACGAAGACGAAGTCGATGATAAGGTAGCGGAGATAGAAGAGCGCGCAGCGAGAATGCGTAAGCAACTAGATCTGGATAATACTTCAGCCCAGGATAAACCGTTGGAACGTGGAGAATGGATGCTTGTTCCACCGGAAGCGAGGTTTTTGGATGGTTCAACGACTAATATGAAGTCAAGACAGTTTAAAAAGATAAGTCGCGATCCGTCACAGGATAATAACTCTCTGTGGACAGAAACTCCTGCCGAGAGAGAAAAGCGGATAACTGACCAGGTTTTAAAATTAATTGGCACTTTATGTTGCATGAAAATATGGATCTATTTATTTACATACTTTGTATATGTTCATATGAAGAGTAAAAAGAGTCTAAAACGACAGCGGCCAATTGCGGATGAGGAACCAAGTTATTCACAGAGAGATTTGGATATTGCTCAACAGGTCCATGAGTATAATGTAAGCAGTGTTTTTTTATAAGCTTCTTGTTGTAATACGTTCTCAATATCTGTTAGCATGATATGACAACTGGAATAATTTTATTAGGCTGAATACCGTGGAAAATCTCTACTGGATTCTCATACGGAAGAGTACTTAAAATCTCGCAAATGGCAAAAAGAAGACGTGAGCAAGCGTCCGTTTGATCGTGATCGTGATGTACTAGGTAGTCGGCGGATGGATGCAAAAAAACGAGCGAAAATCATGGAAGAAGCCAAGGGAATGGACTCTAAGTTTACGCATGGACGGAGCGGGGCTTTCTTATAATTGAACAAGTTCGTCTTGAATAAGGCTCTAATATTAACATTAATATAATTGAAGACAAGGTCTGGTTGTTATTCCTTATTATTGACGATCTTTCGAGTAAAATGGACTAATTTGTATTCGTTCCTTTTTCCTTTCGGTATAGAAACATATAATAAGGACAGTAAAGGGTAGATTGTCCGGTGTTGCAAAACTTGCGAAATAGATCACTCGCTACTTTCTATAATTATTTATAATTAAGTTATATATGGACGAGAATTGCACTAGCTAATAGTAAAAGAGAGATAGTGATTGTCTGGGATCCATGAAGCAGACTAAGAGGATATGCAATTATTCGTTGTCGCTGGACCCAACTATGTTTAGAAATCTCTCTAACTCTCCATCTTCCATGGGATAACAATGTTCCTTAGCGGGAAACTTGCGCTCTTTTACTTCTTTATGGTAAGTCCTGATCGCGTCAGTAATTACGCTGTTTGCATTAGCATAAGTTTTGGCGAATCTACCACAGAATGTAATTAACCATTTAAGATTTACCAAATACGAACACTAAAGAAAATCATTTCACGACCTACCTTGGTGCAAAACGATCGAATATTCCCAGCATATCGAGTTGCACTAGCACTTGTCCACTAGTTCCTGGCCCAGCCCCAATACCAATAGTAGGGATTTTCAGAAGCTTTGTTATGTGTGTTGCGACGGGTTCTGGTATTGTCTCCAAGACCATTCCGAAACAACCAGCTTCTTGGATTGCCTTTGCGTCTTCAATCAATTTTTTGGCCTTAAAATAAACAAAATTTAAAAAAAGAAAAAAGAAAAGGAAAAAAAAAGAAAAAAAGAGAGGGCAGGAGAAAAGAAAAAGGTATCGTTATGACTAAATCACCATTGTGTTGGGTTCACACCTTTTCGAGAGTTTTTCCTTGTACACGATATCCACCTAACGAACTTTGCCGCTGTGGTGTAAGACCTACATGTCCAAGAACTGGAATCCCAATTCTAGTTATCGCGCGAATGGTTTCGACCATCTCTGTACCACCCTCGAGTTTTACAGCCTAACTTAAGACATCGACGGTTAAGTGAATGGCCATAAGTCCTTTATTCGCCAGAAATCAAATGCACATTTACCTCCATTTTACCATCTTTAATAAAGCGAATGGCATTGTTTACGGCCTCACTAATGCTGCCTTCATAACTCCCAAATGGCATGTCTGCTACCATGAATGGCGATTTGGCACCTCTGGCAACTGCACGACAGTGATGGAGCATTTCCTAATTAAGAAACCGAATTTAGCATTAATCAAATAAAGGTACTAGGTCGAATTATTAAACACCTTACCTCCATAGTAACAGGACTTGTAGATTCATGACCCAGTGCAACCATAGCCAGCGAGTCACCGACCAAACAAATGTCTATCCCAGCTTTATCGACAAACGAAGCTGATGGGTAATCATGTGCGGTTAAGACGGTAATGGGTTCATTGTCATTGTACAGCTTTCGTATTGTGTTAATAGTGACTTTCTTCCGAGCTGTTTTAAATTTAAGTCATTTAGATCACGATACAGTTATGGATTTAACCGACATATTTGTTACCTGGATGTGGGCTTTCCGCAGGTCGTGAGCTATATGATCGTGCACCAAACATGTGGGCACAATTGGTAGGTGTTCGTGCAAATAGTCCAAAGCGTCCGCCATGTAGAACATTCCTGTTCAGATACAAGATACTGATTTTACCTGCCTTTGATGTCATCTTGCGATCTTGACGTTAGCGTACGCATAAATTTACACTGGCGATGATTTTGGTTAATGGTTGGTTTTTTTTTTGCAATGGTTGGACCCGATCAAATCCCGATGCGTGTCACGCTTTATGATCGTTGAAATTACAAGCCTTACACAGTTCAATAAGCGGTCTCAACCAAAATTCTTCTCAGCGATATAATCTAGATGCCTTCATATATTGTTCTGAGAACGTCTTCTGTTACGCTTGCGCAGACTGCTAGAACAAATTCACACTTTGGCAGAAGATAAAAGTCCATTCAATTTCTGTTTCATACTCTGCGGAATGACAATAATCAGACAGACATTTATGGAATTCCATTACAATGAAACGCTTAGGTCAATGTTTATCCAATAAGAATACCGCATTACGCTATTGTAACGGTCACAGTTATTAGCCGTTTTCATGTAATACTAAATATGATATCACAAATTACTATGCTCTTATATCCACACACACTACGCATAAGTTCTAGCTGATATAGGCCCTGTTACTATATAGGGATGCATTCCGCTAGAAATTAGGATATATTTACACTTTATACTAACTGTGTGTTTATTATTCGCTTGAGATGATTTACCTGCTGCAAATGAAGGATGATCATGTGTATTAAAGTCGTGTAAATTGCAACAACGTATAATTTCATATTACTATATGACAACTTATAGTCATTATATATTAATTCCCAAACCTTCGTAAAAAAATAAATCGAACTGTCATTTAAATAAAACGAAAATTATTCATAATAAATATCTCCGTCCGAAACTATGCTACCAAAACGCAAAATT